GAAAGCGGGACCCAAGCAATCCTTTAGCAAGCCGCCCAAAGGAAAATCCCTCTTTGCCTGCCTATCTATCTGTCTGTCTGTCTGTCTGTCTGTCTGTCTATCTATCTATCTATCTATCTATCTATCTATCTATCTATCTATCTATCTATCTATCTATCTATCTATCTATCTATCTATCTATCTATCTATCTATCTATTATTTCAATTGCCCCCAAGGAACAGCTGATCCGCGGGGGCATAAGCAGATAGGGAGCAAAAAGATGAATATAAAAGGGTAATATTCATTGCTTTGTATTCGTCGGGGGTCTCTGGACTCCAAGAATACAAAGTAACGAATATCTGAGAAATATTCATTTTTATATTCGTCCCCATGTATATTCTCAGTTGTAGACGTAGCAATATAATATAATGTGTCTACCACTGTCATTACCATAGTACAGTCAACCCTCGACTTACGAACAGCCCTAGTTACAAACATTTCAACTTACGAACCACTCTGATAGGAAAAGTTCACCTCAGCTTGCAAACTTTGCTTCGAGTTACAAACAGAAAGCTTGACTGCAGTGGCCCACAGAACGGACCATTCTGGCAAAGAGAAGGGGCCGGACTTCCAAGACCTCCCACTCTGCCAGCCAAACCAAATCAACAAAACAACATACTTCTGACGCGTATATGGATCGAGCACGTCAAGCCCCTCCCCCGCGGCCTCACTCTCTGTTGTTTCTTTCAGGCAGAGACAACGGGGTGAGGGGACGTGTGGGGGGCACAGCACTTGTTGCGGTTGGCACACGCGGGGGGGGAGATTGTTTCTGTGTTTGGTCGGCCGGGAAGGAGAGAACGAGTGGAGGTGGAACCGAAGCAGCTGGTTCACTGGCTGGTCAGGGGAGGGAGGAAGAGGAAGAGCCTTGCTGTGACCCTCGGGGTTAAGGAAAGAGTCTCCCCTTCCATCTCCTCCTATTCCCCTCACCGTACTAAGCTGCAAAAAATTGAGACAGGCAGTGCCTCTCCCGCCCCTTCTCTCCTTTCCCAAGAGCTGGGGGTGCACCATGTGAGAGGTTTGGTCGGCCGGGAAGGAGAGAATGGGCAGAGGTGGAACCGAAGCAGCTGGTTCGCTGGCTGGTGGAGGGAGGGAGGAAGAGGAGGAGCCTTGCAGTGGCCCTCGGGGTTAAGGAAAGAGTCTCCCCTTCCATCTCCTCCTATTACCCCCACCGTAATAAGCTGCAAAAAACCGAGGCGGGTAGTGCCTCTCCTGCCCCTTCTCTCCCAGGAGCTGGGAGCGTGCCATTTGGATCCAAGTCCACACCATCGAACCCAGACCATCCTGCAGCGCCTTTTTTACCAGGCAAGCAGGTGAGACAGCCGTGACACTCCCCTCTCGCCAAGGCACACTTGCTCATCTTCGGCTTTTGTGCCGAGGGAAAGAGACAGTGGCGGTGGTGCAGTTTCAGCCTCTCGTCTCCCACTTTTGTGCCGAGGGAAAGAGACAGTGGCGGCGGTGCAGTTTCAGCCTCTCGTCTCCCCCCCACTCCCCCCGGCTGGCGGTTTGCATTGCCTCGGCTTACAAACCGCCCCTAGACCTAAGAACCAAAAACAGCCAGAATGGATTAATTGGTTTTCAATGCATTCCTATAGGAAATTTTCCTTTGATTTACGAACTTTTCAACTTACAAACGTCCTTCCAAAACGGATTAAGTTCATAAGTTGAGGGTTGACTCTATATGCTCTCGTATAGGTTTTTCAAAGCGTATGGTTTCATAATTCTGTGCAGTAAAAGAGTCCAGTATGTGCCTGGAGTTGGCTGTCATTGGCAAAGCTATGATAAGAGAGCTGACCTGGCCTATAGAGGTGAAAGAAGTAGGTCAGGTGAATTTGGCCTTAGCTCTGTCAGGCTTCTCCATATGATACTAATTCCACACTTGGAGGGATTGTGGCTGTGATATAAATCCTTCCACCCTCTAGCCAAGGGACTCTGTTCAACAATCTAACTTTGTGCATTTCTTCTTGCACATATATAGGAAGAACAAGGTTTTGCTGGATTAGCTCCTGCCCTGTTTACTAACAGTTTCTCTTCCTGAATTAAACAAGATGGTCTTTGGCCACAATGTTGACATGTCTCTGGCTGATGATAACAAGACAACTTCAACATCTGTGAAGACACTTTCTAGGAAAGGTTCGAGATAACCTGACTTCCATGGCAACCAATGGTCTGTCACCATTTTCTGACCAGACGTTCAAAAACAACATGGCCAGGGGAGGCATCTGTATCTCTAAGGTTTTGGTCAGCAGACAGAATGATAGGAAAGGAAAACAACACCCAGTTTAGTCAGAATTGCCTGGTCTGGTTGTATAGTAAGTCTTGTGTCTCAGTTTAAACTTTACATTGTTTAAAAAACATCAAAAGAAAAATATTTGTATTGCATTTAAAATTAACGCATGATGTAATCTATCAAGAAAGTTAATTCTTATATATATAAATGAGAACATTTGTAGAAGTTAGTCTGCAGAAACAGTACTAAAGCTTTTGTTCATTTCTAGATGATATTTCAAAAACTTTTCTTTGGGTTTGAGACAATGTTTTAAAAGCATAGTTAAGCGGGCTTTTGTTATAAAACAAAAGGAAGGAACAAAAAGACTTGCAGTACAAGCTTATATATGCTTATTCAAAAGTAAGTCCTGCTGAGTAAACGGGTATAGGATTTCAGCCTTAATGGCCATCTTCAACAAAAAGCAGCTTTGATTCGTCCTCTGACAGATTTTTCTGTCTATAACTGGTGTTATGGAATTCTAACAAATTACTTAACAGTTACAGTTCAGTTGCAAACATGTGAGTGCAGACATGTTCCTGAAAGGCTCTGGGATGTGAATGTAATTGTATATATATGCTTTGGGAAATGAGAGTTGGTGAATCTTAACATTTACTGGCAAATGTTAAGATTTTAGCAGGCCCAGCAAGAAATGTCAGAAATGTCAATGTTATGAGACTTGTAAGTGCCCTTTACTTCTGATGGAAATTAGGATAGGATCTAGACATTCAATGAAGACATTGAGTTAGTATTGAAATTTACTGGTAGTTCCTCAGGGATTCCTGTGGGAGTGCTATAAATTACTCAGGTATTGCACATTTCAGGCATCACAGTTTGAGATGCTAGTTTTCAGTTTTCTCTGATATACTGCAGTAGAAATTCTTTGAATATTGAACATTTAACATTAATTCTCAAGATACTTCTCAAACAGGTTCATAAGTAATGCCAAACTCTGGTTTAGTGCTACATAAACGAGACTTATATTAACAGAAGGCCAATTGGTTTAAAGAACAATTTTGTGCTAGTTCAAATGTAGCCAAGTAAGTTTAAAATACAGGGGCTGTGCTTTCAGGTACGAAAAAGCTTCAGCTAAAGTAGAACAAAGAACTCATCAGATTCGGTGGTGAAACTTTTGATTATTAGATGTTTTATTTTATTCATCTGTCAGGTCATTGGAAAGCAAAGAAAATCTGTAGAGTACTTAATAGATTCTATTCTTCCAGTTTCATGGTTTCTAATGAATGAATGCCATGTACAGATAGATTTCCAAGTGCAGAACCAATTTTAAAGGGACACAGGGGGCCACGGAGTAAAGGGGATCATCCTTTCCTGTTAAAATTAGGAAGGCTTCCCCCCCCATGTCTCCTTGTGTTCCAGATACATAGGTAACACAACCACCATATTGGGAAAAGTTGGAAAACTATCTTCAGATGAAATGTATTACAGTAGAAATAAATAGTATAAAAAATTGCCCACTAGCTGTTTGACCAACAGTTATTTACGGCAGTGTACTAATTTAATGATCTTCTAGGATCCTGTAGTTAAGGAAAGCTAAAAATGTGAGTTGTACTTAAGTGGCATAATATGTAGATCCTTCTACATTCAAGGGCAATTAGTGTGCCCAAATGCTACCATGGATGCTGTAAAGAAATATGTTTTATTGAGACCAGGGACCCAAATTATTCCAAGCGGTTCAGAAATCATCTCCTGTGTAAGAACGTGAGCCACATTACAAACATGTCCCTGCCTTTGTCCTGAGTAGTTGCACAGGTTAAAAACCCTACCTTTTGGACTTCACTGACCAATATCCCACAGCCAGTATGGCCACTTACTTTCCCAAGCACTGAGCAGCCACATGACATTGGCTGTATTCAATTTAGAAGTTGGTAACTTGCCATACTGTATATGTAACTACTTGATGCACAGATCGTCTTAGTAAACTGCCAGCTGGCTGGGAGGATCTTAGTATTTCCCTTACTTCCTGGCTTTTAAAAAAAAATCAGGAAAAGAAACATTGGATTTTCTTTACCCCTTGAAGAGACAGTACATTTGACTAGCCTGCTTCAAGGGATCATGTCCATGCTGTGCTAAATTGTCACTTGGGAAATGATAGTATGGTATGATCCCAATAAACTGGTATAACTCAGTGTATTGTAGAGCCCGGCTGCAGAAGCCAAGGCCAGGAATTCAAATCCACAGAGTGGTTTGTGGAGGAGGGACCAGCTGAAAACTCCTAGAGTGTGTGTATGTGGTTGATGCAGTTACATGTGCTGCCATCCGCACAGCTTGTGTAAGATGTGTTCTCCCAAAGCATCAGAAGAAAGTAGGACTGGAAAACTACTTAGTACTTTATTCCTAGAAAAACGTCAGAGAGGTGCCTTAAGTCAGAACTGATTTCACAGTGTTGCTATTGTCATTCTTGCTGTTCTTGACCCAATATCATCAGGCACAGAAGGAGCCTATAATCAGGCACAGATGTGGCTATCAACAGCTTCAGACCCAAGATGGATGTGGTCTAAACCTTGGGAGCAATAAGCAATCAGTGTGCAGGAGAAATAAGGAAGATGCATAATTCTGTGTGCATAATTTTGCTTAGAATGTCTCTATATCTAGCATATGCTTTTGACCACATAAGCATTCTGAGAATGAAATTGTTTGTACTGTTCATTTAAGACTTTTCATCATTGTTTTCTCTAGAAGAAGACCTACCAGTGCATCAAGTGCCAGATGGTTTTCTACAATGAGTGGGATATCCAGGTTCATGTTGCAAACCACATGATTGGTGAGTGAAGTACTAAATCTTATCCACGATAGACAGACAGTTATCCTAGTTGTATTCATCATTGCCTGTAAAATTAAACAGAGTTAAGAAGAAATTAATTGTGCAACAGTCAATGATTTACCCAGGTGTGATAGATTTTTTTAAAAAAACAATATTATTAGGCCTAATAATGCATTATCATGTTTTATTTTCTGCAAGGGCTAGTTTAGACTTCTGCAGAGAATCATATACTACTGCCAGTCAAAACACAAGTGATTAACAAATTAAACTTCTAATCATTCTTGCATTATTGAAAACAAACTAACAGGAATGGCTAATGAACTGGTTGTTAGCTTTCCACAGAGTTTTAGACAGGTTTTAATTTTAGAAGTTATTATGATAATGACACTGCAGAGTGCTGCTCAAGCGCCTTAATACCAGCAGCAGAATTGGCAAGTTTTGTCACTAAGAAACATCAATAATTCCAGTGCCCATAAAGTAGGGATATATGTTGTGTCAAAATAGCTTTAAAACAATCCCAAATGGCTATCTGCAAAATGGAAGTAATACATTGAATTGAGATGAAGCTTGGTTTAGGGTTATTGGTAATATCTAGAATCTGTAGTCAGTATTTATAATATTTACATGAGGCACCTGAAGTTATGAAATATTTTTTAAAAATCTTTGAATTGTCATAATTTATCACCATTTGCTTTTCTCTTGAGGTTCTGTACTATTTTAATGTGGTTACCACTTACTAGTAACACAAAGAATTATGTAAATCAATTAAATTTATCAGACGTATAATTTGCCTACTAATAAAGTAATATTACCTTTTTTTCTGCCTTTTAAAAAAGAAGTTCCAAAGAGCAAGTACTTGGAATCATTGTTTTGCATTCTGTTTGAATACTTTTAAAATATTAAAATGACACACTGGAATTTTTTGCAAAAGACTTTTCTTAGTGTACCTATCCCTGTAATCACACACACACACACACTTAAAAAGAACTTGGATCTTATTTACAAGTATCACTTTACATCTGTGTTGGTGTCAAAAGCCAATTTTTGCAGTTGTTTGTATGCAACTTACTGAACTATAAAGGTTAACAAATTAATTTGGTACACTTTTTCTAATCTTAATTTAAGAAGCACAAGCTGAAATAAACTTCAAATGTAATTCTAACATGTCTACTCTGAAGTAAGCATTATTGAGTTTTACAGGGCTTACTCCCAGGAAAGTCTTATCAGATTACTAGGCATGGGATTTTCATAATTTGTAAGAAATTTGTAATTTGTAAGAAGTCTGCAGGAATTCCATGGGCGGGTCTAAGCTCTGGGAGTTGCAACGAGTTATGAGTGTAGTAGTCTCTGCTCATACAGTACTGCACAGCAATCCTCCTTCACAAGATGAAAATGGCATTAAAACACCTATCAGGACTTTGACTGTTTGATCAAAGCCCTTAGAACACTGGCTGGGAGAATTCCTGGAGACATCTGGGAGCTGTAGTCCACAAATTCCAAAACTCACACATTTAAAAATAATAAACGCCAGTTTGAAGGCAGTGGGATTTGTTTCTGAATAAATATGCTTAGGATCATGCATGTTAGTGTATGAAAATTACGTTTTTGTCATATGAAAACCAGAACAATAACGGAAGGCAAAGTAAACTTTTGAAGCTATTTGTATAGTAGAGTTTAGAAGGAGGCCTATTTATGTGATCAGTTTAGCTTTGTGAGCAGAGGTATTATACAGGCAAAGTGAGATGATTAGATATGACATATGACCCCACTGACTTTGGTGCTTGTGGCAGAAATTCCAGATGATACCTGCCCCTATAACAATTAACTAAATAACATGAACTGTGATTCAAGGCATTATAGCCAATGTGACAATCACACACATTCATAGAATGCCCTTCCTTTTTCCTCTGCACCTCTGGGAGCCTCCTGAAGATCTACAGAGAATTTCTGAGCCTGCTATAACTGCCTTCTGGGGTGGTCAGTGGCAGCAGAGGGAAAAGTTTTGCACTAAATGTTGGATTCCACTGTTGTGAAAGCATACGTCCAGAGTTTGATATGACATTGATGAATACTTAGCAGGGGCCCATGAAATCAGTGAAACTTTGTTAGTGATAAGTAACAAAGAATGTATTATCAATGTGACTGTAATTGTGGACGTTCCAAAGGTCCTCATGGTAGCAAGCACAGAACTCCACAGAGCTCTCACAAGAAACCAGGGATTACCCTGAACCTTTCAAGGAACAAACAGAACTTGGCTGGGGGATTTTGGGAATTTTGGTCCAAAAAAGGTAATATTCCAATCTCTGGAATGGAGAATCTTACAGATACATAGAGACCTAACCAGCAATGATTTGTTGTCATACCTCGTTGATTTAAATTTAGATGCACAATTGGAGATTTGAGAAGGGGAAAGACAAAACAGAGATGACAAAGGGAATAAAACTGCAGTATAGCTGAGTCAATCACATTGAACCAATAGTGGCTTATCCTTAGCTGAGTTTTCTTTAGTACAATTCTTGCTACACTTCCTTCTGGAAGTATTCAGGGAGCTATCTTGTACTAATATTACTCTGACATGAAAGCACAGTTGTCTTCAGAAAAAAGATACGGTTCAGTTCACCAATGCCATCATAGCACTGATTCTTAAGCCTAGCGAGGCAGGAAATATAAGCAAAGCTGTATGAAAATATGCATAAGGTTTAATCCTACCCAGTTAGAAATCTGGGTAAATTGTTCTAGGATATTGGGGGCAGTTGGAGCATTCCTCACGTCTACAAATAAGGCATGTCTGGGAAACATTAAAATGGTACTGATCAAATTATGAAGATAATGTCTCATTCTAAACTTTTACCCTATTTTAATGATTATTTCCTGTATCTTGTTTCATCAGATACAGAGCTTGAAGAAGGTACTTTTCTCAGTATCCCAGACTTTATGGCCCAAAAAATAACTTTTCCAAGGACAATATTAGATCAAGGATATCTCCATACTTAGCTTTGGAACAATGGTTGGTGCTGGATTGTATGTGAGGCGTGCTAAGATTTGTGCAGAAAATACAAATGTTTTTCTCAAATATGTAGATTAAGGTCCAAATAGGAAAAATATGGGAAAAGATAGTCTTACAAACATCTTAATCCCGTATATCTAAGAATTTTAGAAGGTGAACAGCACTTCGAATTGGGTTTAGAAAACAGTCTGTCAGGCTGCCTTTACAGCAGTAAAATATAACATGACCAGCTTTGCTGGTGGAAGACACAAAACAACACATGTCCATGCACGCACATCCACACACATACCTTTCCTTTTCTTTAGAAATGTCTGAATATTTTAAATGCGATAATTCAGCAAGCAGCAGAAAGAGAACATTTGACAAGAAGAAAATTGACACTTCTCTGTGTAGGTGAGGGTTTATTTTGGATTGTCAGACAGTCTCATAGGGTATGTTTACTTGCCACCCACTTGCCACCTGCCTCTGATCATTTGTTGAAGAACAATGAAGCTTTTCTCTTTTTATCTGTTAAAGCCATATCCAGCTAGGTTGAGATCCTGCTTCAGACAGGGTAAATAAACGTTGAGGATTTTTATTTTCTCTATCAAAATCTTGTGAACATTGGAAGTCATTGCTGATGCTGTTCACGAGAGTCACTCCCCTTATAACCTCCACAGGACTTATGTCTATCAAGAGCTGGAAATTGGTATGGTGGCACCATTCTGTTATTCTTGGTATACCTGAGTCTGATTTCCAAGTAGACACAGACAAAAGTATTTAAGGCAATAGCGATTGTCATCACTAGATTAGCTTTTGAAAGCAAAAATTCTGAACTTATTAAGTGGCCCTATTGGTCTTACATTCCTAAAAATCATATAAGAAAATACAGGAAACAGGTGCGCTTTTTCCCTGATGGTGTTCATTCATGGCATTGCTTCATGACATGACCATAGTGACATACATTTTTGTGTGCTTACTATAAGATCTTTCCAAAAGATGGGAAAATCTCATCGCACAAAAGACCATGTAGCTTGCAAGTTATGCTTCAGTAATCTGCATTTATGGTTGTTGTTGTTTATTCATTAAGTTGTGTCCAACTCTTCGTGACCCCATGGACCAGAGCACACCAGGCCCTCATGTCTTCTACTGCCTCCCAGAGTTGAGTCAAATTCATGTTGGTAGCTTTGATGACACTGTCCATCTATCTTGTCCTCTATTGTCTCCTTCTCCTCTTACCTCCATACTTTCCCAACATCAGGGTCTTTTCCAGGGAGTCTTCTCTTCTCATGAGATGGCCAAAGTATTGGAGCCTCAGCTTCAGGATCTGTCCTTCCAGTGAACACTCAGGATTGATTTCCTTGCAATGACTTCCAGTGAGCATTCAGAATGGATACGTTTGTTCTCCTTGCAGTCCAGGGGACTCTCAAGTCTCCTCCAGCACTAAAGTTTAAAAGCATCAATTCTTCAGTGGTCAGCCTTCCTTATGGTCCTGTTCTCACTTCCATACATCGCTACTGGAAAAACCATAGCTTTGACTATGCGGACTTTTGACCTATAACATGCTGTCTAGGTTTGTCATCGCTTTCCTCCCAAGAAGCAGGCGTCTTTTAATTTTGTGGCTGCTGTCACCATCTGCAGTGATCATGGAGCCCAAGAAAGTAAAATCTATCACTGCCTCCATATCTTCCCCTTCTATTTGCCAGTGACCAGTGGCCCTGATCTAAGGTTTTTTTGATGTTGAGCTTCAGATCATTTTTTGCCCTCTCCTGTTTCACCCTCATTAAGAGTTTCTTTAATTCCTCCTCACTTTCTGCCATCAGAGTGGTATCATCTGCATATCTAAGGTTGTTGATATTTCTTCCGGCAATCTTAATTCTGCTATGGGATTCCTCCAGTCCGGCCTTTTGCATGATACAGTATATTCTGCATATAAGGTAAATATGCGGGGGGACAATATACAGCCTTGTCCTACTCCTTTCCTAATTTTCAACGAATCAGTTGCTCCCTATCC